TGACTGCAGTTTCGACCACGCCTAGGTATCATCACCACACCCAGCGGGACTCTAATAGGGGCAGTACGATATCGACACCTTAAAAATTACGCCAGACTCCAACGAGTCGCTTCATAACTAGGTTTTCGAGACTACCAATAGATCGGATATAGAAGCTGCCTTCACCCAATTTCGGTTCGCAAACTTAGTTATGAAGCAAAAAATGAGTAATATGGTCGATTACTTTAGAAAATGCAACTTTACTTCGGAGACATTCTCACCACAGAAATGTGACATTGGGACAGGCCCAGGCTTTCTTGAAATTAACCTCTAACCTGTGATCCACGAACACTCGTTGGAGTCTGGCGTAATGTTTAAGATGTCGATATCGTACTGCCCATGTTCGAGTCCTGCTGGGTGTGGTGATGATACCTATGCGAGGTAGAAACTGTAGTCCATTCTGAATAAGAACATCTTTTTATGAAGCCAGCCTCTGTGAACTTCAATGGAACCATTAGGCCTACTTAACTGATTGTTAGAAACTTCAATTTATACTCTTCCATCGCCTTAGAAGAAATTGGGTGAATACAGCTCTTCTCACCACAGAAATGTGACATGGGCGAGTACTAGGCTTTCTTGAAATTCACTTTTATCCTGGGATCTAAGGGCACGCATGACAGTTGAAATTGTACGTTAAACTAAATGTGTTCCAGTCCGGCTGGGTGTTGTGATAAGCCCAAGGCGAGGTCGAAACTGCAGTCCATCCTTGGTAAGAATAACTTTGAGGAAGCGAGACTGTGTGAAATTCAATTGCAAGGTAAGGTTTACACATATAATTGTAGGAAAATTCCACTACCAGTCCTTCATCACCTTAAACGAAATAGGATGAACACATCCTACATTTCTGATTTACTGATTTACCCTACTTACGAACGAAAAATGATAATGGCATGCTTGCAGCTAAGCACACAATCGGAAAGGCAGTCAAACTCAACTGACTGTTATAAATTGAATGTAAGCAATACCGGTAGGAAAAGTAAGGACCCCTTATGCTTAATGGATCAACTCAATAATAGAGAGGGTGTTGAACCGCCTGAAAAAGAAGGCAAAACAATTAATATTTTCTTGTCATTGTGCCAATTTAAGTCACCTTTCTATAGACCGTATTCTACTCCTTCTCCCTCACACGAAGACAAAAGCTAATCAATTTAATCACAAGTGCGTCCGACTTTGATGAATGAGAACAAGAACTACGTTCTATTCGAATAACTTTAACTATCCCCGCTGGTTTCGTACATATGCAAGTACAGAAGTGTACATATAATCACACCTTTTTCGAGATTAACATTTAAATAGTGCTAACCAAATCACTTTGTCTACTTCATCAAAAAGCATTGGTTGTTGATATATATGCAGCATTTAGTAATAAGGCAATGAGTTTTCTTGACCCATAAACTTAATATGGGTTGTAAGAATGATGGCCTTTTTGATGATAACCGCCATGTGATGGACGAAAGTGTAGCACGCTTTCACCATAATCGGAGATTGTCTCCAGGACAGCGTCAAACATAATATTCCTGGAAAGTAAATTGATCTTGGATATATTCATC